GAGGGACGCCTCTTCCACCCGACACACCGGACAACCTCACCTCTCCGTGCTCGACAGCGTGGCAGGAAAACGTCACGCACACTGCACAGGTAGGAAGCTTTCTTCTTTGTTGACCAGGCCCAACATGGCCTCTAGAGGAGGTCCTACAAAGACCAGAATGATCTGCTGCTTCTCCCAGCCCATTAAGATCCAATTCTTATTTACACACAATATATAGTATTAATTATATATAATATGAATTATGTATATTATTAATGATATACAGTGTGAACTCAGTACTGTTCCCCTCCTCCTCCTCCCCCGCTGCTGGTCTCTGTGATCAGGCTCGCCTCCGAGCTCTGCTCGTCGCTGGACAGAGACGGACTGCGGATGTCTCCTCCTCCAGAACCGGAGCCGGAGCCGTTAGCGCTGCTGGGCGCTGTGACAAGACCGGTCCCTGTGGCAGAGGGCCAGGACGGGGGGTCCTCACTGTCGGGGCTGCAGGGGGTCAAAGGTTTAAAGTCTGTCAGCAGGATTATTAAAGTGCACATGAACCAGAATCAGAGAGCTGCTGAACAGCAGGTCCAGACCGGGACTGAATGCAGCATCTGATGCTGACGGAGGACAGTTTGACTGCAGGGAATAAAGGACTGAGGTGGTTTTATTGCCGGTTAGCTAACTCAGCTAGCAGAGCCGGCCCCGGGGCCCAGAACCTGTTTACCTGTTATAGCAGACACACAGATATCATCTGGAACCAACTCAGAACAAACAGTCGGTGATCAGACGCTGGATAACAAAAACACTTTCACTTTTAGTTTTCCATGAAAGACCCTCAGGAGCCGCTGTCAGGTACAAATCAGGCCCCAACTAACAACTGTAGAACATCATCCATTAATCTGATGGTCAGTTTCTCTGTTTATTGATGATGTTTGATCAATAAAATGTTCATCATATTCGGCGAGGACTAAAGTTTGGAGACTTTGGACACTTTTTCTTAAAAATGACTCAAAACGATGAATCGATTATCGTGTTTTTGAGGTTTTTTCTGCTTGTTTTATTAGTATTTATATTTATTTAATATTTATTTACATTAGATCAATCTCCTGAATACTTACTACCACCATCGAGGCCAATCGGGGCCAACAGTCGGTACGGGACAATATGTAAATATCAAACGATATTATCGCAATGATGAAAAACATACTGTAAACAAACACTGTTGCTGAATCACAGACTTTATCTTACGTTAAGGACGATATACGATGTATCGCAAAATGTATCGCAAGAATCCTGAATCTCCTCGAATGGCTCAACTGTCTCTCTCTCCAGCGTAAAGTCTTATACTGATCTCCTGATTTATTTTAAAGAGGTCTAAAACCTGATCCTGATTCTGATCCTGTGGCCGGAGGCTCGGCGTGCTCGCTGTCTCCCCACAAGACCAGGATCTGTGTATTTTCATGGTTATTGTGATAATAATTATTATTATTTTGGCCACAATCGTGACGTGAAATTTTCATTCTACTCGCAGTCGTTTAGTTTGGAATCCGGAATATTTCCACAAATCCGGTTTAACAGCGGGAATGCCAAACCAGCCACTGGTTCGGACTGACCGTCAGCGTACAGACAGTTGGTTAAAGTCCCTTGTAAATATTCACGATTATCCCGACAATGCGAATTAACTTATTCTTATTTATCGCGATAATATTGTCTCACCTCTCGTCCACTGCTGCCCGTTTTACATACTTTATCATTTAGAAGGCCGACAATCGAATCCTGTTTTATTTCTATTTCTTTTCTTTGTAAAAGTGAAACTAAAATCTTTGTCACACCTCGATTCATTTTTCACTTTTACATATTTTCCTCGCGATTTAACCGCCTCACGTTGAATCTTTGATAAAATTCATTCAATCACTGGGAATTCTGCGTGACCTTGACATTTTGTCCAACCACAAACATCTCGCTGTCGTTTTCCCGCCGACGTAGCATCGAGCCACCACCAAACTACTGGGATTTTATTCCCGCTGGAACAAGTTTCCTTCGATTTTTAATGAATTTTACAAAAAGAATTGAAACTATTTTCATTTTATCACGCAAAAAATGAAATGTTGCAATCTTTTTTTTAAAAAGCTGCGAGAATTTTGAGCCTTAACGATGCTACATAAAGTGTGAGATCCTGGAGGGACTGGATCAAGTCCGTCATGTCTCACCTGAACACCTCTCGGGCCTGTCCGCTCTCCGGTGACGTCTCCCTGAAGAACGGTACGACCCGGGACAGACTGGCTCTCCGGCGGGACGCCCCGGTCCCCCCGCTGGCCTTATCCGCCACTCCTCCAACAAAGCCCCCGGCCCGGGTCAGCGCCGTGGTCTGCTTCTTCAGGAACTTCTCCAGCGGTTTCATCCCCGCCGGCATGGTGGGACGCTGGGTGGGTGGGGGGGCAGAGATACACTGGTGGGTGGGTGCGGGTGAGGGAGTTAAAGGATAGTGATGCAGAGAGTGGGGACTCTGGGGGTCGGGGGGTGGTGGCTCCTACATCATACAGCCCCCTGCAGGTCGGGGTGGGCAGGTGAGAGCAGGTGTGAGCTGCGGACGGCGGCTCTGGAAGACCGAACCGGTTTTAACCCATCTGGAGGTAAAGAGACCTCTCTCTCTCTCTCTCTCGGTGCAAGCTGCAGTTGACACCACTGCCACAATCCACCTATCAGGTGCGGACATAATCCAGTGTAGGGCTGTAGGGTGGTTGCACTTATTCATAAAATTTCATTATGAGAGTCCAATTAAAATCTATTTATCGTCGAATTTATGACGAAATTGCAAAACTATAAGCAACGTTCCACTTAATGGAAATGCTCGGAACAAGATTTTCGGCTGCGGATGTGCTTAAAGAACCTAGGCCGTCACATCAAAAGAGTGGCCAAGGCAGTGCACAAAGAGTTGCGCAAGAAGACCCGCAGCGCAAAGATCTTGCCAGCTGAGCCTGCTCTCCCAGGATGTGTTTATTTATGGATTTCTTCACTGAGACATTGGACGAAGCATCTGGTAGCCACCAAAAAAGCAAAAGTGGGTGTCAACAGATTTCTTTCTCATGTCTTCTTCAAGCCGTCACTGCGTGCTTTGGATGCAAAAAGGAACACAACGCGCACCAACGCACAACGCGTGACTAACTGATTTTGGACACAGGTTTTCTCCGAGAGGCTTCGGTTCGCCCACATTTACACATAATGCAAAAAAAAAAGCTTCAATCAGGGACAAATAATCAGGAATGACATCATAGGTGCCTCAGTGTAACACTGTGCCTTGCCAGCTATAACGGATGGTTTAGTTCCAGCCTTTGACCCCCCTTTTTGCTGTGAGGGGTACATTAG